GGAGATGGCTCGATTTTTAATGTTTGAGAAACATTTGCGAAAAGAGTATTAGGCTGAAGTTGCACACATTACAGTCTTCCTTCTTAATAGGCTTCTCACAAAAGTTGTCATAAAGAAAACTCCATATGAAGCCTGGTATGGTTTTAAACCCTCTCTGAAAAATCTCAAAGTATTTGGTTGCTTGTGTTTTGTTTATATTCCATAGATAAAACGAGATAAGTTAGACAACAAAACAAAAGCTGGGATTTTATTCAGGTATAGCTCAAACTCTAAAGCTTATAGAATTTTTCTACCAAACACTAGGAAAATTTTAATAAGCAGAGATGTTCATTTCATGGAAAATGATGATTGTGATGAAGAACAAGTAGTTTAATTTCATGATCAAGTTTCAAAATCTCAACTTGATACAAATGAGTTGATTGATGACATTCCAATTAGAGGTATGAGATTAATTTCTTATATTTACCAAAGATGTAATGCGGTTGTACTTGAACCAATAGATTTTTAGGAAGCAGAAAAAGACTCCAAATGGATTACAGCAATGAAAGAAGAACTCTTAATGATTGAAAAAAGTGAAACGTGGAAGTTTGTGAGAAGACCCACAAATAGAAAAGTGATTGGTGTGAAGTAGGTATTTAGAACAAAGTTGAATCCTATTGACTCAATCAACAAGCATAAAGCCAGACTTGTTGTAAAAGGATATGCTCAATTTTTAGTGTTGATTTTTTTGACACTTTTGCTCCTGTTGCAAGATTAGACACAATCAAACTTATGCTTACAATAGATGTACAAAAGGGTTGGAAAGTTTACCAACTTGATATTAAGTCAGTGTTCTTAAATGGTTTATTACAAGAGGATATTTATGTTGAACAACCTGAAGGTTTCACTATGAAAGGGCAAGAAGATGATGTATACTTGCTTAAAAAGGCTTTATATGGCCTAAAACAGGCCCCTAGAGCATGGTACAACAGAATTGATGAGTACTTGATGAAATTGGGGTTCAAGAGAAGTCTCAATGAAGCTACCCTTTACATTAAAGGTGATGAAATACATTTCAATTTAATCTCATTGGATGTGGATGATTTGTTGGTTACAGGAAGTAATGAAGAACTTGTGAGAAAATTCAAAGAAGATATGAAGCAAATTTTTTAGATGACAAATTTAGGGGAAATGGCTTATTTTCTAGGAATGGAAATAAATCTAAAAAATAGAGAAGTATTCATCTGTCAAAAGAAGTATATTAAAGAAATTCTAAAAAAAACTAAAATGGATGAATGCAAAAGCGTAGATACTTCAATGTGGCAAAAGGAGAAGTTGAGCAAAAAGGATGAAGTCGAACCAGTTGATGAAACCTTTTATAGAAGTCTAGTTGGTTGCTTAATGTACTTAACAACCATTAGACCTGATAACTTACATTCTGTAAGACTATTATCTAGATTTGCAAATTGTGCAACTGAGACACATCTTATTGCTTCAAAAAGAGTCCTGAGGTATGTGAAAGGAACATTAAATTTTGGAATCAAATTCTGTGCAAGTCAGGATGATACATTGCAAGATATTTTGACAGTGAGTGAGGAGGTTCGCTTGATGATTTGAAGAGCACTTCAGGCTATTGCTTCTTGTTTGGATCATGTGTGTTCTCATGGTGCTGTAAAAATCAAAATATTGTATTGCTTATATATTTACTAAGCCTTTACCAAAAAACAAGTTTGAATTTCTTAGAGAAAAGTTGGAGTTTGCAGCAACGAAAGTAAAGAGGAGTGTTAAAGTTATATTTTAGTTGTAGGAGTTACAAAAATTTATTCTTTCATTTAATTTCTGTTTTATTTTTTTAAAAGATGTTTGACTGTTTCAAACAGCGTGGTCAATTTTAGATTTTTTAGGAAGTTGTTAAACATGGGATCGTGTATTTTCCTACTTTATGGAGTTAGAATTTTTGGTGTATTTAAAGTGTTTATCAATTCAATAAAAGTGAAGCTTTTACTTAAGAAACCTCCAACATTAAAATTCATATTAAAAAATCTACGTAATTTATTTACTTATTTAGCCTAGCTTAGAAAATAGAACAAGTATTCAAGCTTAATAAATCAACGTAATTTATTTACTTATTTAGCCTAGCTTAGAAAATAGAACATGTATCCAAGCTTAATAAGTTATTTTAAGTTGAAATTTGGAATGCAAATTGTGTCCTATAATGCTCACGTCGAAACCTTGTTGTATAAAATTTGTAATGAATATTACTTTTCTTTCAAAAATTTCTAATGAATATTACTTGACCAAAAATCAGCATGAACATAAAATAGAAGAATAATGAATTTTTCATTAGAAAATTTATTTCTAAAAACATAATGGTTAGAAGAAGTTTTGTCACATGTTTTTACTATGAAAGAAAAATTGTTTCTAAAAACACAATGGTCAGAAGAAGTTTTGTCACATGTTTTACTATGAAGGAATCATGGAGAAAATATCTCTTCATGCCAAGCCAAGCACAACTCTGACTGAAGACATTTTAACCATGGGGAAAATATCTCTTCAAAGTCAGTTCCCTTCTTTTGACTAATGTAAAACCTGTGAAAAATATGTACGTGCGATAAAATAGATAATACATAGTAATATGTATTTAAATTATTATTATTATGTTATTATTATGTTAAAATGTGTTGATAGCTTGTTTGGTGTAGGGTCAATCGAGACAAGGGGAGCTAACATTTTCTTTTTTATGTGGTTCTATGTTTGAAAGGTGAAACTTGATGTTTGGTGGTGTTTTTAAGATTATAATTAATTTTGATTGAGGAATTCATGGGAGGAAGCGTGATAGTCATTCTTAGTCCAAAGTTTGTATGGTGTAAGGGGAGTTAAGCATTCTATTCTTTTTAAAATTGTGTCCTATAATGCTTATGTCGAAATCTTGTTTGTTGTATATAAACTGACAAAATCACCAACGAACAAAATTTTCTAAAACCTGTAGTTTCACTGTCTTAAAGGATTATCCACAGTTTATTGTACAAGTCTTCCAAGATACAACAGGAACTTGCTAGAAATTTCTGAGGATCTCGGAAGTAGCAAGAATTTCTAAAAAAATATAAAATAAACCCATAACATTTTTAGAAAAAGAAAAGAGAAAAAGGATGAAACTAAAAAGAAAAGAGAATGAAAAAATATTTATTTTTATGTGTTTTGGAATGGAGGAAACACTCTTATTTATAGAACTAGAAAACAAGAATAGAATAGAAAATTTTTTAATTGTTGCATAAAAAAAAAAGGAACGCATTAAACATTTTATTGAACGTTGCAAAAGAAAATGAACTTTGGGTAACATTCTTTTGCAATAGTAACGTAATATTTAGCTAATAAAAAATCATTCTTATATTTCAAGTTTACTTTGAATAAGAAAAGCCTTATTCAAGGAAGTTTTAGATTCAAACAACTTGTCTAATCTCTTCCACAAGTTGTGAGCTAGAGTTTCACCTTATATGATGGTAAATAGATTAATTTATCCATTGCTAGATCAAATCAATAGTTTTTCAATTTGTATTCTTCCAGTCTTTGTAAAATTTATCTACTGGTTTGACATCCTGATCCTTAATAGGATCACACAAGTCTTTGTAAAATAACAAATCTTCCATTTGAAAATTTTCATATTAAATAATTGATAGAATCTAATCGAAGTTATGATATACATTGTTTTTTTAGAAAATTACACATAATAATAAGCGAAAAAATAACCCCAGATTAAATCTTTCGCCAATAATTAATATGGAGCACAAAAATAAAGGGAGAAATTGAAATCGTTACTGTTTAAGACAATTTTGATTAAGCATAATAATAAACTGAACTAAAATCATATTAGAATGTTACGATATTATTAAATAAACGTAAGTTGTATTATATTATGATAATTTTAATTTTATTTATTTCAAAACTGAAATCATGATGACAGAATTTCAATTCATTTTATTGTAAAACTAAAGTTGTGTTAATTAGTTTATAAAAATATGATTAAGCTTACCAAAATCATCTTAAGCTGTCACATAAATGATTATGACTTAACACGATTTTAACTTATCCACAGTAAAATCATTTTAATATGACATAACTTCAGTTAAATCGTTTAAGCCTAACATAATTTTTTTATTTCGAAGTTGTTTCAACTTGCCCATACTAGTCAAAACTCAATTTTTCTTTAAAAGTTGCAAATGTAATTTTATTCTAAAGTTACATCAAAATCATAAAAAAAATCATTTATGACATTTATAAATACTGTTCTGGGTAAGATTAAGGGTTGGGTTAGGCGTAACCTAAACACTACTTTATTGTTGTCATGTGGTCCCTCAGGAAAAATTATATTAACTGACAAAAGGATAAATACTGTCATCTCGTACTTTTAACAAAATTTAAATATAATGTAAGTTATTATTAAATATTACAATTAAAAAATGATAAAAGTAAGTTTTTTAAAATATATTTGAATTGTCTTTTCTATTTGTTTAATGTGAGAAATACTAAAAAAGAAAGATTTGAATAGAGTAGCAATTCGAAAATTGAATGTCTTTATAGAAAAAATATATATATTTAAGTATGAATTAAGAAAAATGTAAACCAAATAGAAAACCCCATAATACATATAGAAAAATATATACTTTAATTAAATATAATTAGAAAATTTGTGTAAATCAATTGAACATGTGCTCTATGTGAACCCTTATAATCAATTACGGTTGCTCTATTCGTAGATGAAACAATGTTTTAATTATGCGGTTAAATATGTTTTTATTACGTATATTTATATTATTCGTGATAATATGTTTTTATTACATATATTTATATTATTCGTGATAATTTATTGTATTGAAATTTAAATAAAAGTTGTTTATTTATGATCATAATTATTTTTATTAAATAAAAAAGATGGTATTGCAAAATAAAACGAATACAGGAAAATTGATTTATTTTTACTCATTAATACTGTCTGAGGATTGCACATTTTACCATAGGCGACATAATAGAGATGGATAAAATGAATATTATTACGTTTGTTTGACATACTCAACCATGTACAATACAAACTTCTGCATCTTACCAAGTTTCTGACATTAAAATCTATGATCCAAGTGCCATGAAATCTCCTACCACAAACCATAGCATAAAATTTTTATTTTTCTCTTCCATTGTCTCTCTGTTGGCAACACAGAATAGCAGTCACCAAATACAACATGTGCAGTTATACATATCTTGAAGATTTCGCAGTTGGTCCTTCTTTTATGATACTCATTGTTTCCCCTGTGGTCTTGGTCTTGAAAGCATGTGCTCAGATTTCTGTTCACATTGGAAAAAAGTTTTGAAATACACAAAATGAAGAAATGTTTGAAAACAATTTATTTAATTTCATTAGCATTGACTTCTCACAAATTTCATTAGCACTTACTCCAAAAAATTTCATATCTTATAGGTATATAAATTCATGTTCATATCTGATTTTATCATATCAAATATAAAACTTTGTTTGTATCATAATTGTAAGAGTGTTTTTCCTTATTCAATTTTTCCATTTTCATTCCTTCTATTGATTATTGTTCTGCGCAACAAAACCTTACAGAAAAAATAAATAAGAAGCAACTGACCTGTTCCGAATGAGGCAAATATTTCCCATCAAATGTCACTACCACACGATCCTTCCCATCCACTCCTTGAATTTTGTCAACTGAGCAGTAGAAATCTATTGCTGACATGCTAAATATGAGATGAACAAAAAATAATTAGAAAGAAAATCTTCATCTTCATATTTTATATTTATGATAGTAATATTTATTCATTCATATATGTCGTTTGATGAGTATGCCTTGTTTTATCACCTCTAACATTAAACTCAAAATCGTCTAAAAAAATATACTATCAAAATGAATTTTATCATAAGCCTAATATGTTAACTTGGATGGGCATAAAATGAACCAATTTGTTTCCAGAGAGTTACCAATGAGGAGCATTGATGTCTTGAAGATATTATGATTTTGATGATGCTACAAGACAAAGAACGTGAAGACTTTTGTTGTATTCATTTAAAAGCATTTTGTAAAATTAATTGTATAGGAATTACTTTGTTGATGTAAGAACTCTTAGAAGTTTTCCAGTTTAGAGAGTCTTTGCACAGATAATCGATTATTTGATATAATAATCGATTATCACGAGCCTATTTGGAAAAGAGTTGCCCGTGCAAATAATCGATTATTACTCAGAATAATTGATTATCATTGTCTGATTTAATATTGCCCAGGTTGCGCAAATAATTGATTATCACTTTTTGAAAACCCCATAATGGACACAAATAATCGATTATCACTTATGATAATCGATTATCACTTATGATAATCGATTATCTGATAATCGATTATCACTGGCAGTTGGGAGATGTTTTTTCAGTTTCTGACCTTGCACGAACCTAGGCTTATAAATAGTGGTCTTCACAGCTCTTAAAAAGTACTTTTTCATTTGAGAGTATTAGAGTTGTGTGCCTAAGGGAAGCTCTCTGTGAGTGAAAAGGAATCTATGCCATTTGAGAATACAGTTTGTCTGAGGAAGTTCTCAAGTGATAGTGTTGCTCTTGTCAAGTTTTGTGAATAAGAGAAGCTCGCACTTAGTGTGTCTAAGGTCGGAACAGTTCTCTTCAAGTTGGCTGAGCAGTTTTCTTCCCGTTCGTTTGTCGAAGGAAGGTGTTTTCTATTCTTTGCTCATTTCATTATCTTATAATCTGTACAACAATATTTTTAGTGAAAAAGGTTAATCACTATTCATAGTGATTAACGATTGGACATAAAATCTTTTGATTTGAACCAGAATAAAATTTCTGTGTTGATTTTCTTGAACCTTACACTCTTTGCACTTTTAGCATATCAATTGTTTGATAAAAGTTCTCTAAGAAAATCAAATTTTTAAAACAGACCATTTTAACTTGGCTATTGACCGTAACACGCTTTTCTCTCTTTAAATCTCCTTTTAATTCGCTGAGCGACTCGCCTATACCTACATAGAGAATGTCTAAGTTCATTGAGTTTATCTTGTTCCACTATAAACAAGTTTAAGCCCAATGAATTCACTCTAAAACTTATCAAATGCATCTTCTCTTCTACCAACAAAACATGATATATTTAGTTATCTTCATTTGAGATTGAAATCTAAATGAGATATCAGGACTCAGGACTGGTTTATTCACAAATTCATTTGACATCGATTACGTTGAGAAATTTGCACACATGAATCTCACTATGAGATTTTCAGTCAACAGGCTCTACTTGCACACCAAATATATCTTACGTTATGCTTATTTGCACACTAAATTTCCACACTTACTTGTCAGTGGAAGCTTATTGTAACATTCCTATGCAAACATTGTCCTCAAATATCACAATGTCGTTGCATAACACACTTGGTATTCCTATAAAATCAGAATTGCTACAACTTATCACCTTGCCTGCAGGTTGCAGTGCAACTGAGGCTCCTCCATTTCTGACTTCACATTGTAATCAATTATAAAACATAATATTTGAGACAGAACTAGTATTTATTTTCCTTGCTCTATAATTTGAGACAGAAAACACTATATGCTATAAGCAGGGTGTTTGCTGAGGATTCTGCAAGACCTTGACACTTGTTCCCTCATTCAAAAATCAATCACAAACATCTAGCAAGCATTAGATGAAGAGTTTGAATCACTTATACCAGTAAGAAGAAAACACAGAAACTTTACAAAAATTAGGATGTCTTTGTGTCTCTTGTCCGAAATCCTCCTAGAACTCCATAAATCAACAAATCATTTTATAATATGATACTTCCCTTGGCCCTAGGTTTCTGAACTTTACTGTACAAGAGGATTTAAATATGACATCCATTTATTGAGATTTTAAGACTTAGACTATTGCTAAATAATTTCTTCTTCAGACAAATTTTTCCCCCTATTTTGCTGGAGTAGAAGCAAGCAGCAAATATGAGGATTTTTTGAATTTCTTAAATTAAGGAAAAACAATTATGTCACATATATTTACTGATCTTACATACATAATCCTAAAAGTCTAGACACCCTGACCTCTTGAATCCTGAAAACAATTGTCGGGTTTCTAAGTATTAAATCTTCAATTATTGATGGTAAAAATTGTTGGACCGTGATTTCAAACAGGAAACCATGATCATAGGACTATCTAATGTATCAATTGAAGATTCCCTATAAGCTTTTCTTCAGTTTGCCCAAGTTTCACAGCAAAGAAGCCTTGCTTTATCACCTTGCATCAGCACATGCTTAGTGCACATTTAGGTTCATAGCTTAATACGAAAAGATGTATATAACCAACTGCAAGATCAGAAAATAAAACCAGGTTTTAACAGCAATAGTTTATATTTAATGGAGATGGAGAAATTAATTTGGACTGGTACCAAGTATCAAAACCCAAATGTTCATCATTTCCTTAAACTAATATACTTTTTTTTTCTCATCGGTGAACTTTAAAGCAGAATGATCCAGAAAACATGATATAATCAACAGCATCAACTCAAGTGATGTAAAGTAAAACACCAAACAAAAACACCTTCAGTATGCAGGAGAAATTTATCATTGTATAATTGAAACTTACATCCCATCACCAAACTCCTCATTGATTATCTCTTTGATGCTCTCCCCAAAATGCATTACAGCTTCATTCAACCTGTGAAATAGAACATCAACATAACTGTTGGGCACCTTGAAACAAAGACCAGATAAACAAAGCAAAGAAGAACCAGAGATAAACTCCCAAACTGAATTATTCACTATTGGCTGTAAAAGACAATGTTTACAAAGGAAAAAACTTCCTTTCACACAGGGTATTATTCCCTGTCACCAAAGTCAAAGACTTTCAATACCAAAAAGAAGAACCCTAACACCTCACAAAGGTAAACTATTATAGACTTTCTGAGAAAGTTTCTCCCCAAAACAACTAGCTACGTAACCTCTTTTATCTCTAAATTACTTTCTATTATACATATTTCTCCCTCTCTCAATATTTCCCTTCCTAACAATAACCAAACAAATTAAGTATATAAAAAAGGCTGTTGATATAATGCACTATACATGTTCCCAGCATTAGAATCCGCAAAACACATTACAAAAGAACAACTATGTACATTCATGTCAATCACAAGACATCCATGACGGTATAAAATGACTTTTGCATCTCTCACTGACAAAGTCACATCTAAATAATAATTCATAATGCCCTGTTAACAGGACCAACTCCCACAACCATTTGGCAATTTCACCAAAGACAAGCCAACAGATGCACGTTTACTTCACAACAGCTTGATCATCAACACAGACACTTAAGAGAAGAGGGCCAAAACTTACAATTTTCCATCTAAGAATAATTTTTTATTGTCTTCACACTGGCTGCATTCATATAAATTAAACGGTAGCTTGCACTTCTAACACCCCATCACCAGTATAAAAGATTTTTCCACTGTTATTCAATAAATTATGTTTTGACACACTATTAACAACTAGCAACCTGAAATGATTGAGTGAATATTAAAACAAGCTTTAATTAATCATTTAGTTCGTCAAATTTCGTAATCATGCGAATGCTGATCCACAAGTTCTAATTGCACTATTTGGGTGTCCTTCAAGTCTTGCCCAATCAATGCCCACCATCCTAATTCCATCCAATATTTAAACATTTGGTAGAATCCAATGGGCGCAATTGGAATATGAAGAACCAAAGTTGTATAATGGTGATAACCTCCCACTCAACATGCAATTAAGCCTAAAAAAGTAATCAATGAATTGGTTCATGTTTATACTCCCAATAACTCATTTCACCATACACAACAGATACACTTTTCCACTACAAATTCAAGTAAAATTCCCACCTTTTACACAGACAATAGCTACACAGCTCTAGTAATCACATAAATGAGAAATGGGGTGGGAGAGGAGGAGGCACCTAAAGACAGTGGGTCTTGGATTGAGTCATGATTATACTTCAAATAACCCATTTCACCTCACACAACAGATACACTTTTCCTCCACAATTTCAAGTAAAAATCCAACCTTTTTCCACAGAAAATAGTCCAATAGAAATAACAAACAATACCTATAAACAGTGGGGTCTTGGATAAGACTGGGATCGTAAGATCTCAAAGGGGGTCTCATCATCTCCCGCATAAGGTATTCGGTCAGGTCGGGCAGCGCCTCCCGCAGACGAGGGGCAGTGTCGGGTTTGAGCTGAGCCTGTCTCCGGAGAAGCTGAGCAACATAGACATTGGTGAGCCCTGTCTCCTTCGCTAATTGATTGTATGACTTCCCACTCTCACGCTTCACAGCTTGCAGACTTGCCACTGTGCTTTCTTTGTTCTGCTCCATCTCACACCGCAAATAGGGACACACTGATCTTCGGATTCAACTACATGGTCGTCTAATCATGTTATATATGCCAAATAGTTAATTTTTATTGTGGGCGTAAATTATTTGCTTTTCCAAAGGCAAAATCACCACTTTGCGATTTAATTTTTGAAAAAACTTTTTTGTATTGTCAATAAATAGATTTGCTTACAGCTTAATGATAAATTGATCTGTGTTTTTTCTAAAAGAAACATAATATTATTGTTTATTCAATAACAAATAGATGTATTATTATTTTTTATATTAAATATTTTAAACAAATTATAATTATATATATTTAAAATTAGAATACCAAATAAAATTATCGTATAATCAAAATATTTATCAAGTTTGCAAATATTAATAAACAAAGTTCATGAATTTAAAAAATATTCTTAAAAAATTATAAAAAAAAAAGTATACAAGTTTAAGAATATTTTAAATGTTTTTTTTTACTTTATTTTTTAAATTTTAATTAATTTTCTTTATAAACTAATAAAAGGTATAATACACTAATTGAATCAAATAAAAAATAAAGATTGAACTAATAATAATTAAAATTATGTAGATTTTTCATTTTTAAAATTTATTTTATGTTAGATAGTGATAAACAAAATTTATGAAAATAATATTAAATTATTATATTATAGTAAATAAAATATTTTAATACAATTGTGGTGATAAAATACATTTACGAAATGAGTTGTAAAATAAAAATAATTATAGAAAAAAATGTAAGACCCATAAAAAAAAAATCTATATATATATATATATATTTATAGTAGTAAATTTTAGTATTTTATTAGTAATAATAATTTTAATGGATAGGAAAAATGTAAATTTTGGATATGAAATTAAGTAACTTTTAGAAGGAGAGGTTCAAATTTTTGGGAAACTTATTGTAAAGTTTTTTGAATAAGAAAAAGTAAATAGTAAATAGTAAAAAAGTTAAATAGTAAATAGTAAAAAGTGAATAGTAAAAATCAATTTTCAGCATTTGGATTTCTCAGGAAGAAAGTAGTAGGAGAAATTGGATCAGATTTGGTGAGAAAATGATTGGAATGAAATATTATTTTAAATAATATTACAAATAATAAATAATATTAAAATATTAAGAATAGTAAATTTTTTTTACATAAAATAACCATGGGAGGGAAGATTATTTCTGCCACCAAGAGAAGAGAAATCAAGTGAGAGAAAGTTAAGAGAGAAAATTTTTAGTTGCAAGAAGAGGTAGAGGTTCTGAAAAGGTTTCGGAGAAATCAATTCAGAGCAAGAGACGTCTGGAATAGAGGTAGGGAGCCTAACTTTTCTAGCTTTTATATTATGATTTAGATTTCTATGCTTTATATTATGACTTAGTATTGTTTTAGTACTATTCAATCTTGAAAGTATGTATGAATACTGTTAATGCTACTGTATGTTTATCAGATTGAAATTCGTTGTTAATAGTAATGCTGTTGTTTTGAATCTGTAAAATAAGAAGAAATTTGTTAAAAACAGTTGAGGAACACTTTGGCTAAGGAAAGATTGGACTTAAGTTGTTCCATTGTGACGCACCTCTGTTCCTGGAAGTCTACTCGACACGTTTTTTAACTTAAATCTTATGAAACAGATTTTGTACTATTAAAATAGTGTGCCAATATATCTTGTTGGAATGGAAATGTCGATGAATTCATTTTTGTGGTAGTATGAATTATGAATTATTTAATTGTGATAATTGATTTTATTATACTGCATTTGAATTTATGCATCTGACACATGTTATGGGTTAGTATGGGAGGATTTTGTAAGGGTATAATGTGAGTTGAGGAATATTAGTATGGTATGAGTCTGTGAGAATTAAATAAATGTTATGGTATTGTGTAAGTTGAGTTTGAGGGTCCCGTCGTTGGAGGTTACCTGATACTCTAAGAATATCTCGTCTCAAGTAGAGAGGATGAAGTATGTGGTGAGCGGAGCAAGGAGGTCCTGGTCTATGTGAAGGTTTGGACAAGTGAGGGGGATATAACCTTTGTAAATGGTCTGAAGTATTTGTAAAGTATATTAAAAAAAAGAAGTAGACGTCATTACAAGTGACAAAACTCCCGTGACAGCCTCATCAACGATCATCCGGATGAGTGTGTCTATTGGGTTATGTGGTGTCTATTGGGTATGATGAGACGAGTGTATAATAGGAATTGTGTATGAGAGTGTCGAAAACATAATTTATATATGATGTTTATATCAAGTAAGTATTATTATGTTTATAAATGATTTGTTGCATGTTAGCTCACCCTACTTGTTTGTGTTTGTCTGATGTGATGTTTGTATGATGGTTGGTATGTATGAACATAATTATTATAGAGGTTTGCAGCATGTTTCATAAATGATTGGTTGCATGTTAGCTCACCCTACTTGTTTGTTGTTTGGGTATGTGCGATGATCGTATAATTCGTTTACGGGGAGGCAGATGAAGGAAATGTTGCCTCACTCAGTGCCAAGGAAGGGGAAGTAGAAGAACTATAATTAGAACATTTTTACATGTATAGACTTATATCAACTAGGAATTTTAAAGGTGAGATTACGGGATGTTACCGTAAATGTTTAATGTTACAATATATAAATTATGAATTATCCAATGTGGAGAATTTGGGATGTTACATAATGTATCAGAGCAGTTCGTCCTTGGAGACCTCTGGGTTGTGGGTCTTCCGTGCTTCTCTGTGAGAATTTGTGTCTAAATGGTTATAATTACCATTTCTCAAATCTAGATAGTAGAGTATTGTGTCTAACTACCCATGACTTTTACCATAGATGATTTGCCTTTCTAATTATGAGGGTTTGAGGAAATATATCTGTTTTGAGGAAATATATTAGAATTAGTTAAAGCCTGATAGGGAAGAGAGAGTAATACTAGAGTTTAAGTTGCAAAGGATGAGTGAGATGTTGGTGTTTAGAAGTAAATTTTTAGAAGTTTCAGAAACAAAATTATAGATGAGAATCTTACGTTCACAAAAAGGGTTGAGTTCAAAGGCTAGATAAGAGAAGTTTGGATAAGCATGAATGTGGCAAGGTTTGAGAAATCAGTTTGGGTTTAGTAGATCAGCACGTAGAAGTCAGAGAAGAGAAGGAAGTATTGATGAGAACAGAGTGGCATTGTGTTGAGATTGGAAACATGGATTGTGTACAGTGATGATTGGAATCTGAAGAAAGAAAATAGATGAAGATTTGAAGATAAAGCTTAAAATAAAAAGGGATAGGAATTACTGAAGTAAGCTTAAGGAATAATCAAATATTAGACGAAGAAGAGTAAATAAGAAGTTGTATAAGGCATTAAGAGGATTGAGAGAAAAGTTTTAATAGGAGGAGAAATTTATAAGTTAAGGAGAACACGAGGCTTTAGAGAAGAATGAAGTAGTATTGGAAGGATTCTTAAGCTAAATGGATGATAAAAGGAGATGGTGAGATGTTTTTCAGTAAATACATTAGAGAATTAAGATTTGAGAATATGTGATTTGGTATGAGGAGTAGTGGAGCAAAATCCGAGGTACAGGTACGAAAATTTGGCTTTCGGCCTATTGCAAAATATTTGGTATTTTTATGATAGGATTAAAAATGTCATGATTTATGGGTTTTGTAAATTTATTGATTTTGGAATGTTAAAGTAGTAGAGGTAGTGTAGGTGGAATTTGGAATTAAGATATATGATAGGCAAGAGAAGGAAGAAGAAGAGTTGGAAATAGATAAGAAGGGGGTTTTGCACACTAATGTGATTAGGGGAGGGGAATGAGGAATAATTAAGAAGTTGTAGGTTGTTAATTGGAGCAATTTCATTCAGGCATAGTTATATGGTAGCATTCAAACCTCAATGGTGATGTCGCACCTTGATCTCTATTCCAGTGATGTGTGATGAGTGAAACTTGTTGATAATTACTTTAATTCGCATAAGATAAAAAAAAAAATTTAGATTTAGTTATACCTAAATATCCTTGGGATATGGTTTTGATCTCGGGAAACACATGATAATTGAGGTAGGTGTAATGATGGTTGTGATAGGGCTAAAGTAAGAGTGTTTGGAAGGTTTATGATTTTAATTTTTGTGAGTACATTTAAATTTGAGATGCTAGAAATTTTATGCACAAAATAAGTAGAGAAATGATTCAGGTTATGAGTGTGAGACTTTTCTAGTTGAATGCGTTCAGATGAGTAGTAAATTAAAAATTTTATTTTTGAATTTTCGAGGACGAAAATTTTTGTTGTTGGGGAGAGATGTAAGGACCACATATAAAAAACAAAATCTATATATATATAATATATTTATAGTGTAAATTTAGTATTTTATTAGTAATACTAAATTTTAATGGATTAGAAAAAGTAAATTTTGGATATTAACAATATAGTAATTTTAGAAGGAGAGGTTCAAATTTTTGGTAACTTATTTAGTAAATTTTTTTTGAATAGTAAAAATAAATAGTTAAAATAGTAAAAAAGTAAATAGTAAATAGTAAAAGTGAATAGTAAAAAATAAATTTTCAAGCATTGTGATCTTTGCATGGACGAAAGTAGTAGGTAGAATTAGGACAGATTGGTGAGAAAATGATTGAAATATATTTTTAAATAATATTTAAAATAATAATAATTTAAAATATTAATGATAGCTAAATTTTTTTTACTATAAATAACCAATGGGAGGGAAGATTATTCTGCACCAGACGAAGAGAAATCAAGTGAGAGAAAGTTAGAGAGAAATTTTTAGTTGCAGAAGAGTAGAGGTTCTGAAGGTTTCGGAGAAATAAATTCAGAGCAAGAGACTCTGGGAATAGGGTAGGGGAGTAACTTTTCTGCTTTTATATATGATTTAGTATTTCTATGCTTTATATTATGATAGTATTGTTTTATTACTATTCATATCTTGAAATTATGTTGAATACTGTTAAGTGCTTACTGTATGTTTATCTATATTGAAATTCGGTGTAAATGATTAGATGTGTGTTTTGAATCGTAACTAAGAAATTTGTAAAAGAGTTGAGCGAACACTTGGCTAAG